AAATACTTTTAACTGATGGTATATGGAGGGGATTATAATCAATGTAATGAAACAAGTTATATGAATTGTTGAATGTGAAACTGATGATGTGCCCTGTAATTTACTCAATCCACAATAAAAACTTTAAATTAAAAAAAAAAGAAATACTTTAAAAATAACGATTCATAGTCAAAGGAAATTAGGCATCTGTTATGGTGGCTAAAGGAGTTCTGGTAGTGTAGTGCTTACGAATTGGGCTGCGAACCGCAAAGTCAGCAGTTCAAAACTACCAGCCGCTCCACGGGAGAAAAATGAGGCTTTCTGCTCCCGTAAAGATTTACAGCCTTTTAAACCCTGTACAGGGTCGCTATGGGTCGGAACCGACTCAACAGCACTTAACAACAACAGTGGTGGATAAGGGGAGAAAGACGAGACTTTCTGCTCCTGTAAAGACTGGCTGTTGCTGTTAAGTGCCACCGAGTTGGTTCCAAATCACAATGACCCCATATAGAGTTTCCAAGGAGCAGCTGGTGGGTTTAAACTGTCAACCCTGTGGCTTGTAATCCAGTACTGATCCTACAGTGCCACACCAGAAGTCCTGTAAACATCTGCAACCTCAGAAACCCTATGCAGGTTCACTGTGAGTTAGAAGCGACTTGACAGCACACATCAGCAATGGTAGATAAAAAGTGAACACATCAATTCAAAAGAAAATACATCGGGCGTCAGACCCAGCTCTAAATGTTTTACATGCATTAACTCATTTAACTCATCAAAGGAGAAAACAGAGTAAGTAACAAAGAATAAGTTAGTTGCCCTGAGTATTATAATTAGTGAAGAATAGAGCCAGGATTTGAAAGCTAGCATCAGGCCCCTGAACCAGTGTCCTCACGTCATGTTATTCAGTCTCAATCCAATACACTGAAGACAGGAGGATAGGTCCTAACCTTTTTCTTTTCTTCTTCCTGTAACTCCCATTCCAAACGGGCTTTCTTGGCTTCCCAATTCGCAGGTAACTTAAGCCTTTTATCTTCTTCCACGACTTCCTGGTGATTTAATTTGCGAGCTTCATTCTAAAACCATAACATAAATACTCTTGTCAGTTGAAACAAGAAAATATATCCAGAAGATAGTGCCTTCTTTGAGCAAGGTCAGGTAAGATACTGAAACAAGGGAATTCCGTATTATCCTAAAGTAAGAGAAAGGCAACAATATAAGCAACAATATAATTAGATTTGTATTTGTATACAGTCAAAAAACAAATGTGTTGGGCTCTATTGAATAATGGTTTATTATCCAGAGGCCAGTATTTAGTTGTTACGTTCTTTTGAGCAGCTTCCTTAGAGGTGAATTGGTTCTTCAGTAGAGTTGGATGGCATTAAATACAAAAGGGGCTTCAAAAAGTTCATTGAGCAGAGTCAGTGACACATCCACAGAGGACTAGAGAGGAGACCAAAGCAACCAACGGATAAGGAGAGGGCGGACAGACGCAGGAACACCCACACCTGCAGATGATACCCACTTGCCATGGCTCCAAGGAGGGGACGAACAGAGCTCAACCCGAAGAAGAAAGAAGAGGAAAAAAGTGTCATCTGATACAATTTGATAAACTGGACATCCACCTATAAATGCAGCTGTCCAAAAGAGGAAATAAATCCCTCCTCCAAGAATTATTCCCACCCCCTCCACACAAAGAGTAGATAGGGATGGGCATCTTGAACATTGACCAACCAAAATGGGAGAAGGGATACAAAGGCAAGAAGTGACTGGCTTACAAGCTTTCAAGAGGGAACCTAGATCCACAGGGTGGGGAGGATGGTAGGGTGTCCAGTGAGTAGTATCCGATGTGTCTAGGAAGGGCAGATGAAAAGAAATGCAGATGGGTCCCTTGGGAAACAAGGGTGAATAATTGTTACCAGTACTGATTGTGAGGACTGGAAATGTAAAGGTGGACATTTTATAGCAAGGAGGGGAGTGATTAACCTTTCAGTCTAGGAGCGGAGGTCCCTGGGACCATCAATGGAGAAGAGCAGAGAGCGGGACCCTACCCAGAGGAGCAGTGAGGCCTGAGACTGAGACAGAGAAGATGACGTAAAGAGAGAGGATGAATTGAAGAGATAGAGTGGCTGGGGACTTGTGATCCAGAGAGGGAGAGGGGCTGTGTGCTGAGGACCGTGAGGGGAGGGTGGGCAGGATTGCAGGGTGTACCCTTTGGTTGGGTAATGATGCATGGATGGGATGGTAACTATGGCAATGAGATGATGTATGATGGAAGGAATGTAAAACTAATGTTCCCCCATGTAGACTATCACACAATACACAATAAAACATCAAAAAAAAAAGTTCACTGAGAAACGGAATTCAAAGACAATGGAATTTTTCCCTGAGCTTTTGAAGGCCCCTCATAATGTTAATTCACACGATGGAAAACATAGTGTACCTTTTAATCCTGATTAATTCAAGGCAAAAAGCCCAAATTGGGCCTAGAGGGTGTAGCAACTATCTTAATTAATGTCACTAACTCAGCTGAAGTCACCCTTCCTTGTTTAATATTTTAACTTCAGGAAAATTTAACTTAGATATTTTTTTTACATCACTATCAATGAAGAGCTTCCATTTAACATACGAATCAACAGCCTATTTTAAAATAAATGTACATAAAGAGAATGAGTAAGTTGCCTTAAGGTAAACTTAAGTTAGCTATTTTTTAGGACACAGACTGGCAGCAGAGTTGGGGCAGGAAGCTATGTCTTCTAATTTCCAGTCACATGTTCTTCACACAGTCCCTCCAACTGCATATTTAAATGTGCTCATCTGCCTTTTGCTAGACAAAGAGAGAAAAAAGAGAGATTCTTCTCAACTGCCATCCCTTCTATGGTGTGCCGGTGGCACATATCAGCATTAAACTACCAGGTTGGTTGTTCCTACCTCCCAGCCACTCCACAGGACGATGAGGCTTTCTGCTCCATCAGGAACCCTGTACAGGGTCGCTCTGAGTCAGAACCAACTAGATAGCACCTAACAACAACAACCATCCCCCTTCTATACTGTGACTCAGTCTAACAACGTCAGGTCCATTGCACATGGTGGGGGAAGGCAGGCAGCTCGGTAAGAGGGATTTGGATTTGTGTCAGTGGATTTGGAGGAAGGGTCAACAAAGTTTGGGCTTGCTCTGGTTTGGGTGCTGTCAGAAAGGAAGGACAATTCTCTCACAGGTACCAAGGAGGTGGGACTTATAACTATAATTTCATACTAACAGTCACTCTTCTGAGAAGAGGGGATAGAAGGTTACTTCTGTGGTTTGAACAGTGTTCTTGTCTTTGTCTCCCTCCATAGTCACAGGGCTACGTTGAAGTTTTGTGAAACCAAGGTTTAACAGATAACCACATCAGCTCCAAGATGACGACAAGCAGGGGTTGCCTGGATCTCCACTGCACTCAGCTGTCTGAACTCCCATCCCTAATGAGGACTCTTTGCACTTGCTCCCTGCTTGGATTGCCCTTCCCCCAATGCCTTTACTTGCCTGATAATACCCTACTTTCAAACAGCAATTTAGGTGTCATTTCTTCTGTGGGTAATTCCCTGGAGTCCCCTCCTCACTCCCCAGACTGCATGAATTCCTCCTCTTCTGCACTACTAGGGCACGTTGTTCCTTCCTCTACCTGGCATTTAACACCGCTTCTGGTTACAAAGCTGCATCTTCTACTCAAACAAGAGCCCTTGGCTGGATAGACACTGAAGGAACCCTGAGACAATGGCCTTGGTCGCCCTTCAGGTCTGGAACTGAACTCACTCCCATGGCTCAATTTTCAGCCAAGCAGCAGACAAGTATATAGTGGGAACCACAAGGATCTCTGGTAGCATAGTGGTTATATGTTGGGCTGCTAACCTCAAGGTCAGCAGTTCAAAACTACCAGCTGTTCCGTGAGAGAAAGATGAGGTTTTCTACTCCCATAAAGATTCAAAGCCTTGGAACCCCTACACAGGGTAGACATGATTTGGAACCCATTCCATGGCACATCACAACCAACCACAACACTAGTGTGATATTATTGTTGTTGTTAAGTGCCGTCAAGTCGATTCCCACCCGTAGCAACCCTGTATAAAGTTCCCAAGAAGCAGCTGGTGAGCTTGAACCACTGACGTTGCAGTTCAAACGACTTTGCAGTCTGACACATTAGCCTACAGGGCCACACCAGGACTCCAATATACACATAACAAAATGGTCAACGTTCTAAATCAAAAGAGCAGCATTTCCCCAAGTCAAAATTCAGGAGGATTAGGAAATATGTAGGAATGAAAACGTAGAAAAACGGAGAAAGTGGGATAGATGCTGTTTGTTACGTTGAGATGAAACAAGTGTAGGATTTACTGAATGTAAAACTGATGATTTGCTCTGTAAACAGTCATTCAATTCACAATAAAAGTTAAAATACACACACAGATTCCCCACGAATCATCTGGTTCCCCATGAATCGGCTAAGCCATGTTGTTTCTAGCAGGTTAGGCTCAGGTGTCTTCCCGCTAGTCTAGTGCTACTTACCCGCACCGTAACATGAAGGGCATGTAAGAATCACAGAGCAGATAGGCTGTTAGTAACGGAGAGTCAAGAATCTAACCGATAAATTAACTCAGACGGGGGCAGGAGGCGAGGAAAAGCCAGTTCTACGGGTTTGTAGTAAGGAGCGCTGCTGAGTTCGCAAATGAGTTCCTCCCCAAATGCGCACGGGCCTGGCCGGATGACAGGTGTGCGCTGCTCCGGGACACTCACCCGCTTCAGGTGCAGCTCCCGGAATTTGCGCAGTCTCTGTTCGCGCTTCTGGGCGGCCAGCTCCTCGGTAGACGTAAGGGGCTGCTCCTCCTCCGCGCGGCCCACAGGTACCTGCGGCGAGAAGGGCAGCGTCAGGCGGGGCCACGTCAGCTAATGCCGGTTCGGCCCAGGCCGATTCCGACAAGCCGCGACCGGGTCCCCCGCCCAAAACCCCTTGCCCCTGCCTCTCGCTACATTCCTTCCCCACCAAAAACCCTGCGTAGGGCGGGTGATACCCACCGACTCAGCAGCAACCGCCGCCGCCATCACAACCTCTCCCCTCGTACTTCCGCAAAAACAAAGAGCATTTCCGTCGGCCTTTCGACCGCCCAAATAGACATATTAATGAGCTACTTTAAGCCCCGCCCCTCCTTGACCTCAAAAATTTACAACCAATCACTACTCCTTTTTAATGGTGATCTGGTTTTGATTGGGCTGGGCCTAGCGCAGCCGCAGAAAGCCGCAAGGCAGAGCAGGGCAGGGAGGGGCGAGGCTCCAAGGTGCTGGAAAGGACTAGGAGGATCGCAGGTAGGTAGTAAAAAGCCCAAAGGAGCCCTGGTAGAAAGTAACCGAATTTACGTGATGCTCTCCTTAAGCCGAAAGTGCTTTCCATTCGCATTTAGCTTCAATGTTACCTCCTCTAGAGACAGGTGTTCTGTGACAACCAAGTCTCACGTGGGTATGTAGTACTGTCATGTGGCACCATATTCTTTTCTATAATGCAATGTACTTTTGTCTGGTTATTCATTTTCTGTTCCCCCAGCAACACTGTAAGTGGCAGAAAAACAGGGCCCTCTCTATCTTGTTACTTCCTTCCAGCAGGAAAACAGTACCCGATTTATTAGGCACTGTTTAGGCTGCTAACCAAAATCTGGGGTTTCAAACTCATCAACGGCTCTGCCATAAGGAAAGATGAGGGTTTATGCTCCCACAGAGATTTGCAGCCTCGGATACACTCTACAGGGTCCTTATGAGTCACAACCGACTCCGTGGCATGACCAACAAGAAGCTGAGAGCCACCCTGGCTTAAAGAGAGTCAATCCCAAATGCAGAGGGGGACCTCACTACCCTCAAAAACTGGGCGCAAAGCATGCCCTTTGGACCCAAGCTCCCTGTGCTGCGAACCTTTTAGACCCGGAAGCAGAGAAACCTTTAACACACGAGATTGCACCAAACAGCAAGAAGTGGAGGCAAGCACAGCAAAATCCAGCAGCAGAGAAAGGGCAGCAGCAGAACCAGGAGACAGGCATGTGATGGTGCACTCAGGACCACAGAAGTGAAAGAGCTGAGGACCTTCAGGTTTATCCATGCACTCATCAGCATCAGCTTTATAACACTTGCCAGAGCAGGACAGATGATTGAGTGGAGCAGAGAACCGAGGGCTGAGAGATGAGCCCTGCATAGCTTGGTAAGGGTTTGTAGGGACTAGAGTTGAGAGCTGTCCTACATTGAAAAAGGGACACAGCCTACATGCTTCCTGATCCCTAGTTATATGTAGTCTGTTGTGATCCTGAGTTAGAGGCGGATACTTCCCTAATAAAGCACTTCACTGTAACTATGGTCTGTGCATTCTGGTTGACCGTTGCAATGAATCATATCAATCCCAGCAGAAAAGTTAAAAATGCCAAGGGAGAGATGACTAGTGTCAGAAAGGTTGGAGATTGAAGGTACATCTGACCTCCATCTCATGAGAACCAGCCACGGCTGGTTAAGGAGATTTTTATTCTCCTTAAAGCTCTCACACCACGCCAATTTTATACCTGACTGGATAACAGGTTGACTGCATTTCTTTATTCAGTTGCTGTCTGAAGGCATTCTATCAATATACTCTGGTTTCCCTCAACTGCACCTTCTCTTTGCCACTTTATTGTTGCTGTTAAGTGCCATTGAATCGGTTGTGACCCTGTATTGTTGTTGTTGTTGTTGTCAGGTGCCATCGAGTCAGAACCGACTCATAGCGCTCCCATGCACAGCAGAACGAAACAATGTCCAATCCTGGGCCAACCTCACTACCGCTGCCACACTTGAGTCCATCAATGATGCCACCTGGC